TGTTTATGAAGATATTTGCGCAAAAATAACGCGATGAACACAAAAAAAGCTAATGGATTTTTAAATGGGTTGCATGGCATGATGCTCATTCACTGCTGTTCAGGAACAGCAATGCTGACTAGGGACAAGGAATGAGGGTTTGAACACAACACACAGACCCTGCTTCTGAGATACTTGTAACATCATCATCAATGCTGCAGGTTTTTAAATGAAGACTGATTACTGTGAGGCTTGATAGAGGAAAAAATACACACACAAAAATCAAACCCACAAAGAAAAAGTGTGCCACTCACTGGCTTTGAAATGGATTCCGATGACATATTTTTTTCCTGTGGCACGTTTCTGTGTGCACTATTAATAGATTAATGGCCTGCTTAGTGTTTGGGGATTTGGAGTGCATTATGGTTTGCTCCATACTTCTTCCGTAGAAAGCCAGATGTTCGAGAATGGGTAGATGGGATAATCTTTTTACAATGCACACTGTTTGAAGCCCCAAGAGTTGTCTTGCCAGTCATTTTTGGTAGGTCTGTGGAACAGCCTGGACTGATGCATCACATCATAATGCAAATGTGATGTGCCCACAAAGAACACCACTGTGTTTGCAGTGTAATTTCTTATTACCAAGTAATAAAGTAATGAGTACTCCAACTCAATGATCTTTATTAAAAAAACAGCAGAATGTTTAACCAACTTTTTTTTATCAGTATGTAATAGTACATCTGCGGTTACATTTATAAACGGGTTTTTTGTGAACTGGTTTCATAATAGAGTATCAAAAAGTATATTTCCAAATATTGGGAAATATGGTGATTTATTTTAGCTGACAGGATCCGTTAAGAAAAACCACAAATTATACCTTGGCATTTCTAAACTCTTGTTGCCCTAATAGTACAGTACTTCATTCAAGAACAAATTAGATACGTATCTGTTAGGAAATAATATCTCGGGATACAATATATAGTTTGGGACACGACCTGTGATGGACCTTGGTCTTCTTTCGCCGAGCAAATTCTTCTGTTCTTCATCCACCGAAAGAAGCCTTACGTTTTCCATTTTCTTACTGCCACAGTTGGTTCTCTAGCAGAGGAAGTGGAATGTCCAGGCTTTGGAGCTCTTTATGCTAACTGTTCTCACCTGGATTCATCAACAATTGCTGCACTTACGTAGGGAAGGATAGTAATGAAATGCTCTGTGCGGTTTGGCTCATCAAACCTCCATCAGAACTCAATAAAAATCAAATGTCAGGTTAACATGGGGGGAGGGGAGAGAAGAACAGGTAGATCTTCTTTGGTTGAAATCCAGTTTGTAACAAAGTATGTGACAGCTGTATATATTTATACATTTAGATATCTCCTCGTGTAGCTGTGAGTGGTGCTGTACTGGGTTTGTATGTATCCCTCTGGGCAGTGCAATGTTTTGGAAACCATTTGTTTTTTAATGGGAAAGCTTGTATTGGATGTGTTATCATATGTTTTATGGCTGAAAGATTTAAACAGGAAGGCATAGAATATCTAACTTTCCATTGACATCTGGTTTGGTGTTTTTTTTAAAAAAAGAACATTAATCCTGTAGTTATAGCCCCTCCGGTGAATGTTCACATTTTCGAGCTGTATGCAAAGTTGCTTTGCAAAATGTATGTTTACGGATCATGGATAAAATTATGGCACCAGTTTCAATTGCGTGGAAACTTATCTCGAGGTAAGCTTAACAACCTCTAAACAGTGTTGCTAATGATGCTTTGAAATCCACTGTGTGTTGCAAAGTAGATTTTCACATATTCCATTTACTTAATCATCATGGTTATGTAAAGACTACAGGTCAGGTAGAGGTAAAGGTGGTTGAAGATTAAGATACCAGGCTAACACAATATCCGGAGGCAGTTTTATCATAGCTTTGTGAGTGGCACTTTCCATCATCGTTGTTTCTAATGCCTCTCCTGATGCTTATGTTCGAATATAGTTGTGTCGGGCTCTGTTTTATGGATTTCAATGGTGCCTTAAGTTCACAGTTGGTCTGCTTGGGGAGTAAAATGTTATAGCCCTTTGGAAAGAGGGGGGTTAGCAGCTCAGCATGCGGTTACAGGATTCACACTGGGGGAGCTGTGTAAAGTGAATCCAGAATAGAAAGCGGGGTGGTGGTGGGGGGGGGGGGGGGGGGTGAAGGGTGCAGCACCAGGAATGATGAGAGGGGGAGGACTGAAGAAAGATTGGTGGTTGTGGAAGAGTGACCAGCTGGGGTGAAGTGTGTGTCAGCCCACAAGCCGCAATGCCGATGCCAAACAGTCCATCAGAAATACTCGAGACCCATAAAAAACACTGCTGGTTTTCAGCATGTGTGCAATATGTTTTTTTATTCTTGACTTTATTTTTTTTTAAATTTGTTTACGAAGTGACGGCACTTTTATAGCTAATATGCTTTCTGGTTGTAAGATTTTTTTTAAAAAAAACTCTCTCTGACTGTCTTATCGATTAGGTAATGTCTTGTTTTTTCCCCCACTCTTTTCAAGGCAAGCTTAAAGCCTTGGATAATCTGCAGTCAGCCAATTTAGTCAGCACTTAACCATTAGAACAACACTACATTAGAACAACAGTTGGCAAAACATTGAAAGAAACACTTGAAATCAAAAGTATATGTGCGAGTAAAAATGTTTCCAGAGGTTTAATAGAACACAAGTCTCAAATGATGTCCTGGCCAAAGAAAATGTGCATTAAATAATCCATTAAAAAAAGAATAAGTTAAGCTAATTTTATTGAAAGACATTAATATGCTTGGGGTATTGTGATTCATTTCTAAAGTCTGATTAAAACAATGAGTCCTTTGATGAATTAGCAGACACCTCAAATGCAGATCAAATGAAAGGTGATTTTTGTTGAATCTGTCGTGTGTAAAAAGTGGTTTTTAATTAACTTTGCCAGATATTATGAACTTCACAAAAGTCCTGGTCCGAGTAGTGTAAGCAAATACAGAAAGATGACTTTTTTTAATAAATTGGGTCAATAAGTAAATCAATTGCTGTCAGAGCTTGTTACAAGAAACTGGAAACAGACTTTGAAAGCAGAAGCACATGGCATCAGAACATTAAGAGCCAGAATCTACAGACTTGATTTTGATGGGGTTTCACTAGATAGTATCATGCTACCAACCAAGAGTCAGGCATGCTTACTGTTTCCCTGTGTAGGACTGTGATGACGCACAGTTTTCTTTATTGCCAGCACTATACTGCTGCCTGCTTTCTACTCTGAAGTCTGTTCCAGCCCACGTTTCATATCCCTGGCAGCCCCTGTGGTCCACATCAGCCCACATCACATACCATATCACTGACTCTGTGTCTAGAAACCCAACCAAGCCAGCCTGACATCATGTTGTTTGTGCATCTTTTTGCTGGTGACCCAATCCTTTTATTTACTGTATTGGAAGCTTTTTGAGAGCATGTTGGGACTGGACAAGTTTCTGTCTGGAGCTGGGATACAATACAACACAAAATTGCATTTGTAAAGCGCCTGGTTGTAATGAAGGCATGTATGAGGATTTCAACGGCCTGAGGGGTAAGGCAGTGGCGGAGTAGGGCAATGTTCCGCAAGTGGGGGAAGGCAGAATGGGTCATGGCATGGATGTAGTGCGGGGGGGAAAGGACAGTTGAGGTTCGAACAAGACCCCTAGGGTCCTGACTGGCTTGGTGAGGTGTAGGGATGTGATCATATTTGGGTTTATCTTACTGTAGCACCATATGCATAGTGGATAAAATAGGCTTTTTTTTTAATGCAATTTAAACATGGAAAACACCCAATTTGGGGGAGAAGCTCAACTCTGAGGCTAGATTCCTACACAAATAGCAGCTAATTGTCACTAATTATGTTCAGAAACAACATATGAGTGCGTAAATTTGGGTCGCTTAAATTATGATCCAAAGCAGTTAGAAAGAGGTGGAGTGAGTGGGGAGTGAGTCAAGCAGAACTGCCCTTGCAGAGCTTTTAGAACCAAATTACTGTCGGAGGCAAGGCAACCAGTTGCCTGTGAACTAACCCCATACTCGGTTCCAAATCCTTGACTGTCCAATGCCTTTGGACATCCTCCTGACTTGAAAGGCCCTATTGTTGTTGTGGGAATCTAAAAAAGCGAGCAGAGCAAATGTGTTTTCACTTTTCATCACTTCTTAAAAACATATACATTATAGAGCCAAATATATTTTATATATTTTATATATTTATATATTTTATATATTAGCTGCTATATAATATATATCTGACTATATTTTGTGTGTAATTTGTATTTGTGTTGTATCAATATGGTGGGGGGGGGGGCGGTGTCATTAGAACGTGATATTGATAGAAAGATCATCATCAAAACTGTGATGGGTCAAAATATATCTCTGAAATGCTTATAACATTTCAAGATGACTTATTGTCTCCCTTTTGAACAGTTTAGCTTCTTGATGTTCTTTTGATTGACAGCCAATTTGTCCATAACAATTGAAAATACTGATCTGATTTGTTGCACCAGTAAGATTTCATATTTGAGATAATATTGAAAATGAAATGTTTTGTTGCGGTTCACTGCTCAAATCTTTTTTTATCCATATCATTCTTAAAATTGTGTTTTTAATATATAATACAACACAATTTGTAAGCAAACAGTACTTTGCTTTTTAAAGTCAGCAGCTTAGTTAGCTTTCATTTTGGTTAATTTGTTCAATAAGTTATTTTGCAACGGTATTTTGCATCATCTACTCAGAATCTTTGATGTGCTTTTGGAATGAGATAGACGCGCACCAATAATTTTGAAGAATTTAAACTCCAAGAACAAGTAGAAATCGTGTGCGTTCTTGCAGTCGAGTGTATTGGAGTGTTATTTAGCCACCAGTGCGGCCTGACTGTGAGGGAACGATTGCAACCTATCACATTTTTTTGTTGTCATTGAATGCTGACCTAATCAGCCTTAACTGCATGACCCTTTTTCACTGGTCTCACCTAACTTGAAACCTGTTATTTTATCTTTTTCAGCTACAAGGATCAATAAAGAGGACATTGGAAAGCAACAGCTCACCCGCAGGTAATGACAAAATCAATGAGCTTTCCGATGGCGCATTCCCAGCTGAGGTTAAAAGAATATGTCTCGACGATGTCAGTCTTCCTATGGGTCGGAGCGATGCCTCTCGTGTTCTTTGCTCAGACGTGCAAAACTCTCCACTGGCGATCGGTCACCGCAGCCTGGGTTTGCAGACTCCTGCCTCCATGGGGCCATCTTTGGGATGTGTGACTGCAGGCCGCAGCTCAGGCTTGCTTGGTAGCAGCCAAGTGAACGGCAGTGACATCAGTTCACAATTTCCCGTTGCACCAAATGCAGAGATGAAACAAAATGCGGTGGATGGACACAACATGTTCTCGTTTGACTCGAAAGGAGGTACCAACATACAAACGATGGACCAGGATTTGGAAGACCTTTTGGAGGAATTGACAAATATGCCAAATGAACTTGACATTCTGAACAACAGGAGTGACCCTCTTAACCTGGGCCTTGTGCAAACAAGTCAGAGCAGTAGCCAGAAGCCATCGCCTCAAGCAGGGTCACACTTGGACAACCCGTTACCTAGCAGAGAATTTTCTCCAAATTACAGCCAGGCACCTGTTGGGTCTCCACAGAGAAGGCCCCCGTCTGCAGGCACGTCATATCCATTACCAGTTCCAGCGAATTCAATGCCATTGCCTATGTCATCACCATCCCAGAACCAAGCTCCAAGCCAAACCCAGCCACCATTACTATCTGGCGCCAATGCCAACAGAACTGGCCCCAACTGGCGTGAGTTGTCACATGCACAGCAGCTGAAGAAAATAGCAGCCAGCCAACAACAGCGCTCTGTTTCCCAAGTGCCACATCCGCAGCCAGGACAGGCGGCTAACTGGCATCCTTCCTCTGGACCTTCTCCTCCCTACCGACCAGACAAACTTCCTAGTCCTTCCCTGCATCAGCAGCCTTTCAGTCCCCCGAATGCAATGCTGCCCAACATTGCTGCTTCAAACAATCCTGCCAGTACCATTCAAAGTTACCTGTATAATAAAGCTTCCTCCAACCAGTCCACCCGCAGCAACATGCTGGTACAGCAGCAACCTGGTTTAAGCCAGGGGCCGGTCAATGATAACTCTCTGGCTTCAGAGCAGCTTTCATTCAGCAACACCAAACCACTGTCCCATTTTGACCCAGATCCTTCTGTTCAGAAGCTGCCCACAGTAGCAGGAGGTCAGGGTCAGCCTTCTGTGGTGCATTACATGCAGCAAGCCGCCTCGGCAGCGCAGCAATCTCCGCAACCTGGCCCAACTCAGCAGGCGACGTCACTGCATTTCCAACAGATGCGACATGTGAGCGAGCAGAAATTACGAATGCAACAACTGAGGGTGCAGAGAAGCCTGCAACACCCTGGACTGACACCTCAAAATAGACCGGTAAGATGACATTCTTTAAACCAACCCCCCAAAAAAACTTATTTTAGAAGGAACTATTTCCATGTTTGCATTTCTTCCAATCAATTAAAGGTGAATGGGCAGCTTGAACTTCTGGCATGCAGGCTCGAGCAACCAATCATTATCAAATGTCACTTTAGAAATACGAGTCTACTAATGTTGTAGACTATTAAAATTCTTTTGAACCGTTTCAAATAGCAGCCTTCATTGCAAAGCTTTTCCGTGAAGATCGCACCTTTCCAGAAATGTATCTCTGACAAAACTGGTGATTGATTTGTTTGCTACTGACTTTAATTCTCCAAACTTGCCACCTTTCCCTCTCTGGAATTTCTGGCTTGCACGTCACGTAATGGCAAGAGCATTTGATTCTCAAACCAGCAGCTATAAGTTTTGATACCAATGTCTACCATTTCTGCGTCACAAACCACCTAGCCTATGCTAGGCTGCTCTTACTAAAAATGTTGGATTATAATAATAGTAATAATCCTTGCATTTGATATAGCGCTTTTCACGTCGGGAGGACGTCTCAAAGCGCTTCACAGAACACACTGTAAAGTGAATTGACTGTATATTTGTGGGCGAACGCGGCAGCCAATTGCGCACAGCAATGTCCCACAAACAGTCATGGATTGAAAATGACCAATTTATTATTGTTGTTGGTTTTTGGAGGGATTATTATTAGCTTGGATTATCTTATTCTGCTAAATTCTGAACATGTAACTGCATATTATTTTTTCAACCAATGTTGACACTTCCTCTCTAATGGTAAACAATTTTAAACTTTGCAAACGGATTATGTAAGTGTCAGCTTGTCCCGGTTGGTAGCATGCTCACCTCCAAGTCAGACATTCAAGCCTCTACCTCTGGCCTTTCAGATCATAATCTAGGCTGACACTTCAAAGCAGTGCTGTGGAGCACTGCATTGTCAGAGGTGCCGTCCTTTGGATGAGATGAGAGAAAAAACATTGCCATTCACTTCATGGATATTTGTGGGACATTGTTGAGCGTAAATTGGTTACCACTCTGTCTACAAATACTCCACCACTACACCTTAAAAGCAAAAACTCTGTGAGGCGTTTGAGACATTTTTGATGTGATATATTAAATGCCAAATTGTTAATTGGATCTCTCAGTAGAACACAAGGAATTATAGAGCAAGAAAATAGCAATGAACAGAATGAAGACTTCCTATTCTGGGTGTTGCAAAAGTACAGGATAGTATAGGAAATGAATATTAAAACAAGGGCATTTTTCTCTCGATTCCTAATGCGTGTGCAGCTTGGTTTCTGTTTCTGGGAATGACACAAGCAGAGCAGCAGAGAGGCCAAAGTTTACAGTGAGTTAGAGTTTTGTGGGTGGAGGAATGTGGAAGCTGGCCAGCTGGAGAGGGAACAAAAAAGCATGAAATCTGATCTCTGGAGCAGGCAGTGAAAACACAGCCAGCAGCTGTTGCCTGGGTCCTGAAGCTCATTTGCTGTGTTTTTTTGGTTCTGTAAGCTCTCCTAACGGGAAGATGATCGCTTTAACAAACAAATTATGCTCCTTTGCTGCCTTAATGCTCAGAAAACAACTAAAAATGTTCTCGTTTCTTAAAAAATATGTATTTTCTATCGTTGGTGAGGATATTGAGAAATTTTCAGAAGCAGATGTCTTGGTGCATTGGTCCTGTTGAATGAGCGAGCTGCGTTCAAAATATTCAGCTTCCTTGGGCTTTAAGGAATGTATAGCCTTGTCTAGGGTTGTTAGCAGTATTAAAAAATAATTCTTCCAACTCCTCTCTTTCCCCCCCCCCCACCCCACCCCATCCTGATTTTGTAATGGCTGCTGGACATTTGAACTGTGGAATAAACCTCTTGAAACATGCTAGAGAGAGAAAGGATTTGATTTCAAAGGGCGATGACAATTCCAATGGCGGGCAGACTGTGAGCTTTTGAGTGTGTGAGGGTGTATGCAGCTTCTGAACCACAGCAGCAGCCCCTGCAGCTAATTGAGTGCCTTTGAATAGACGAATAAAGGATGATGAATCAGTGCTGTCTGGGAGCAATGAGTTAGAGGGTTGGCTTCTTGTTTTCTCTCCCTGGTGTTAGAAATGACTTGCTCAGTGGTCATTTGGTTGGTTTTCATGTCGATAGCAGCATTGCCCGAGGCACTGCACTTACTCGGTATTAAAGGCGCTGCCCATTCAGCCGCGCAGAAGAACTTTTGTAGAATCTTTTCATTAAATAATCGTCTGGACCTTACACATTACTCTTGTTCAAAGCATAATTGGGAAAGCTTTGCTTTAGGGTTCATGAAACTGCGCTGTCCTGGTGAAAGAATGAACTGATTTTCCCTCCTCTCTTTTCTCCAGCAATAAAAACAAATCCCAATTAAACTGGAGAATGTTCTGCACTTCTGACATTGTTTTTCATTGTTCAATATTGCTAAAGCTTTGCTGTTTGATGGCTTATCAAAACAAAATACCTTCTGGGCAGGCTGGGGATGTGCATTGACTTTGAAGCAGTCACAGCATCTCAATGCATCCACTATTTGGACTTTTGATGGCGGCTGACACTGATGTGTGGGGATGTTCAGCACTTCCCCAGGTGGATTCTGAGGGTAATGGGAGAGATTGTCCGGTGGGGCATTGTTTAGTGGTTGAGGGGGAAATTCTCAGCCACCCATGGGCAAGGGGCAGATTATCGGATAGGGTAATGGATGGAGGTAAAGGGCATATTCTCAGGTGGCTTGTCCTGTGCAGATGTTAAGCTGAAGGTAAGTGGGCAGATTCTCAGATGGGGTATCACTTGGGGGTAAAGGGGTCAATTTTACAAGTGGAGTATAATATGTGGATTAAGGGGCAACAACAAATTAGATTTGTATAGGTTTCGCATCGGGAGGTCGTCCCAAGGTCCTGGATAGTCAAGGGTTTAACCGAGCTGAGGGTTGGGATCAGGAGGGGTGGAGGGCAGAGAGGGTACGAGTAGTGAGATAGGGCAGTGAGTTACCCCACTCCTCTGACTCACCCTCTGCTCTGCATAGCAGAGCCTCTGACTGAGACACGCAGAGCAGTTTTGGTCTTGAAAGTTACATTTCAGTTTTCTTTCCGCCCACACGGGAGTAGGAGGGAAAGTGAGGAACAGAAACAGTAAAGAGATAGATTCCAAGGAAACTGACGAACGTAGCATTAGGGCACTGAAATGATCTGTTTAAAGTTAATTTTATTTTCTCTTAAACAAACAACATTTTTATTCTTTGGCTGAAAGTTGTTTTTGCACATTTAACGTGACACATCAGTGAGAGAAACCTCAGTTTTAAGTAATTCTGACGCTAAATGATCAGATCTTGGCAGGCCAGGTCCCAGAAACCTGAATTCCAGTGTGGGGTTGAATCCTTAATGTGGTGATGTTTGTGATTAAAGTGTTACCACATCAAAGTGAAATGTGATCTAAGCTGGCAAACTGTTGAAAAGGTTGGAGGTTGTTGCCTTTCGAGTAGAAAGAAAGATTCTTTGGTTGAATTGGTTAAAGTCAATGAACAAAACAATGTTTTTACATGACATCAGAGAGAGAAAAAAAACAATGTCTTAAAAAAACACAAGGTGTCATCTCCTAGCAAAGTAGTAGTTTACTGTAAGGGTGTGTAGAACTCATTAATACCAAGAATAAACACTTTCTTTGAAAAAGAAAAAATATCTGCTTTCAGTTTCCTGGTGTCATACATCTGAACAGGCAGAAGTCAGAACATGAGCGTTGGGTTTTTGGAGAAATTTTGAACAGAGCAGGTGGGTGGGGAAACAGTAGTTATTGTAAACAGGAACTTGCTCTGTTTCATGAAAGCCTCGGTTGTGAAAAGGATGCGAAACAGACACGTAGTTTCATTAGCTGTGTGTAGGACCTTTGTGTGCCCAGAAGCCTTGGGATGAACCAGAGTTTAAATATCAATCACTCCAGCTTCTAATGGCTAGACTTCACCTAGTTGAGACATTTGATCTGATCTACTTTTCATTACAGTAAACGGATAGAGTTGTACTTTCAGTCAGTTTACTAGAAGTCATTTAAAAAGCCTCTATTTTTTGAGCAGGCAGGTCAATGGAATTGTTATGATAATAAGCCCTCGCCAGACTTTCCAGTTTAAGAATGACTTCCTACATTGTATCCCTTTACAATGTGAGGTTTGTTTTCTTCTATCCAGTTAATTAATGAAGGTTGTATAGAGACTGCAAATCATACTCCTTTTTTTAACACACTCACTTAAGGAAAATACTTTTTGATTCAGCAAAAACGTAGCATCTATTTACGTACATAATCACCAAAGATGGTCGGCTGAACTTCCACTACTATATTTAATAGGCTTTGTTATTTTGATATGTTGTTATTATTTTCCTAGTTGTTCATGTCTTCAGTAACTGGATTCTATTACAGTTGAGACTGCACAAACTTGCTGCTCATTAGAAATATCTAATGGGGTGGATCTGTAAAGGCAAAGTTTTCGTTGTCATCAGAGATTTAAACTGCAAAATCCCACAGAACTTTCATTAATAGCCCCTGGTGGGAAAGAAATCCCAAGAGAGCACCAGCGTAGCTGAACAGCCCTCTGATTGATACGGAAACCACAGCCACACAAACGTTTACTAGCAAACAATATTTTATTCAAAATCATATGTCTGCTAAATACCATATTTAACTTTACGTTTCTCATGCCTGAAATGAAAGAGCTCCAGCAACCCCAATAGAAAGGTGTTTCACATCGGCATGCGAGGTAATAGATCAGTGTTAAAAACAACTTGAATTGTACCACCATGGAAGTAAGTCTTTCATTTATTTTGAGGCACAAAAATATGAATCCACGAAACTAGCATCAATTATGCTAACGCCTTTTCCAGTCTGTGCACAGTTGCCGGCTCACATTTCTCTCTGAGATAGATGCTGGGAGTTAGCAGACTGTTAAAGGGCACTTGGAGGCCATTGCCTTATTTCTAGCAGTGAAGCTTCTTGGAACTC